AACATGCTAACATTTATGGCAGTGAAATAGGACATATTTTCCATTACATCGTCAAGAGTGTCATATTTAATCTCTTTTAACAGAAAGATACATTAATGCATCAACTAAATTACACATCGCGTCTTGGGTTATTACAAACTAAGTGAACGCGAGCTAATATGTCACAATTACATCTTGACCGCAAACTCAAACAAATTTTGATAAATAAAATTGCACGTTAAAATGTTTGAGCCTATAACAGTTTTCACCCTACTCTTTCACGACAAGCTAGCGGAAATGTGTGGACTACTGTACAATAATTTGCAGCCGTCTGTACATAGCAAACAAAAATGTGAACAAATTGTATTTTCAAATTTCTTCCTCACTTTTTTGGTATCCAAAACACAGAATGATTGTACAAAATTGTCCAGCACTGTGTTTGAAAGATTCTGCCATGTCATGTATACATATATCATCATTTCAAAAAGTCACTTGAAATTCTTAAAATATAAGAAACATTGGAAAAGCCATGAGTCACTTTGTACTTATCTGATAACAAAACAAAAGCTGCATGGAAATAATGATTAATTATAATTAAAAGTACCATCCACATTCATGACAGTCATGATTATTCAATAAACAAAACCTGTCTGAGTGAGATTGACTGACAGTTTAGAAAGGTTTTCAAAATGTATGATGACCATTACAACTGTGCTCATCTCATAGTACTTTGTGTCGAAGCTGCAACTCTTTTCTAAAAGATACAGCAAAAATAAATTACACGTTCCCTATAAGAAGACAATGTCAGCTCATTCAAATAATTTGCTACTCAAAGATTCATTCATTCACACCGTTTTCACATGCAAAATTGCATTTGTTTGTATGTACATGTATATATACAAATAAGTTAGAATATTTGCTTTATAGCTTGACATCAAGTTGAAATAGTCTGCAAATACATCCAGAAAGAACATTTACAACAACAAAATTCTTGCATCATAAGTACATTACATTAATGTTTAGTGTTGTTTCAATTGATCAGGAAATAATATTGTCTTGGCCATGATTCAGACAAATTTTAAGTACCATAGTTGCCACATAGATAACGATAGCTTACAATATATGAAGTGTATGATATACACTACATCTAATACCTCCAAGTTTGAATCCTGGGGAACAAATTTCCTTCTTGAAAATTGAAAACAAAAAATGCACACTGTGAATTCGATCATGGTTAGTGCCTCTCAGAAAAAGAAAAAAAGAGAGATTCAAAAAAGAAAAATCTACTCTATAGCAATACATGAATACAATTTACTGATTTTTATTCTCTGGAATTTGAATTCCACAGCTAGAATTTGCATTTTGGTTATACACACACACAGAGAAGTATACAATTACTACATATGTACATTATTTTTGACAGAAGGTTATTTACAGTGAAACAGACAGGAAAAATAAATATGTATGCTTTGCATATAGGGCAAAATAAAAGAACTCACATTTAACTGTACAAAGATTTAACGCCAACCTGGCTCACTGCAGACATCTAATGTACAGGTAAATCATTGGTTCACACAAACATGAAGAGCAATCCATTTTAGAAATTGAAATGAAATGATGAAAGTTTGCTGTAGTTAGCCTCTAATAAAACAAAGTTGTTTCGTAAATAGTATTCTACTTACTATAGCACACAACTGCCAAATGTATCCGATGCTTGAACCTATTATTCTAATGAAATGATTGTTAATGGTGAATATGTATATTCAAAATTCCTATTAGTACTTGGAATTTTTTTCAAATGAACACATTCTTCTAAAAAACAACTATTAGATAAAAATCCACAAGAAACATCTAATTGTATAATAAAAGAGAGATATCATAATATCTGGTATTTTTAGTGTTTCACAAAGAAGTGGGGAAAAAAGAAACAAAGAAAGTAAGTATCTGTTTAAAATAATGTTGAATGGTATTTTCATTCAATCTTTAACCACTTTCCAAAATGAACGTCATATTTTAAAGTGCAATGACATTGTCTATCAAAACAGAATAAAAGAATAAAATCTGTTTTCACCAAGTACTCTTAAGAAATTGACCATTTAGCAATTATGATGTGTTTGACAAAAATAAATGTTTCTGATAGGAAACAGTCACGTAGCACCCAAAGAAAAGACAAATAACAACTATCAGCATCCTGAAAAATGTCTTAGAAGACTTCCTGCCAGCACACTACAATCAGTTACATATTTGAGTCATTTCAAGACAACCAGGCTTCCTGCTTTGTTTCACAATGGGTTGTTTAAAAAGAAAATTATTAACTTGCCTGTTTAAACTGGTGTAACAAAAGTCTTGAACCTAACTTTGAGTCACTAAAATGAACGATGGATAATGTTTCTCTTCTCAATTGTACATGTACTGTAAGTGGTCAGGCATCTTATAAATAAAGGGAATATTCCTGAATAATACTCTTTTGAAATTACCACTTTTTCCTTTCATCTCTGTATAAGAGATTGAAAAACAGCTCATAATGAATACATTTTCAATTGTTGGAATTAAAATGCTGAATCAGAATATAGCCAACCTTCTAAAGTAGTCAGAATACAACCTATGCAGACCTTAGACTTACAACTTGAGGCGAAAATTGTTTTATGCTTGTTCATTCATTTTTACAGATGCTACTGATCTAAGTTTCACGACACAACTAAATTGGATATGATTTCCACTCTAATAGTTATGAATGCCCAGAAATCCGCAATAGTTTGAGGCCGACACAGAACATCTGGACTGCCTCCAAGTGGACGGAGAGTAGATGATGAGAATGAGAGTAATGATGATGATGAGGGTGATGATGAGGGTGATGAGGAGGATGATGAGGATGAGGATGATTATGAGGATGATAATGAGGATAATGAGGATGAGGATGATAATGATGATAATGATAATGATGGTGATAATGATAATGATGGTGATGATGATGATGATGATGAGGATGATGATGGTGATGAGGATGATGGTGATGATGAAAGTGATTATGAAAATTACGATGAAAATAATGATGAAAATGAAGATGACAGTAATGATAACAATAATGTTGGCGACACCAATTATTATGATAATAATGATTTTGATGATATCAATGATGATAACTCTGCTGATTATGATGATGATGATGATGAAAATAAAGATGCTGCAAACATCTACCTCTTGCTGTAGACAAGAGTTCCTATTCACTACTAAAACATAAATCATCTACCAGGGGGCAAGATACATATTTGTTATACACCAAGTTCCAGCGGCAAGCGGATCAGCAAAATCGATGGATATGACTTCTTTCCATGAGGAAACTTTGAGCATGCAATACAACTTCATTTTAGCCAGTCTTGTAATGTTTTACGTGCATAGAAAATATTTAGGTGGATTGTATGTTAGCACAGTTTGAGTTTGTCAGCAAGCATGTTATAAGCGGAGATCGACACCCTGAAACTGAAGTTATCATGCTCTTTGTAACAAAATGATTGATGCAGCGATATTGATTCAATTCAATGTTAATCTGATTAATTTCAATGATTGTCTAAGAATACTAGTCATTGTCAGATAATAAAGATACAAATATAGGTACAAATTGGCAACAGGCATTATACATACGATGCATCTAGATTGTTTCATTGAGCAAATTCAGTAATATCTCTGCATGCATCAGTTCTTGTGTATGACAAGGAAACTCAACTGTAATGCTCATTGAGCTGTAAGTCATTTTAAAGTAAATGCAGGTTTCTATACAAATAGATACTTCAATTATTTGATTAAAAAAAAACAACATTGGTATATAGTGTTCCATTTGCAAAAGAACTTTGAGGTATGGATGATTGAGATGATATGATTGCTTATCACTTGGACTGCTTATCTACATTTGCCACTCTCACCCAGGTGTAAAATGGGTACCGGTAGGAAGGGATTCCTTGAATGCTGTGAGCGTCGAAATCAGCTGCCTAGCAGAGCCGGGGTAATACTGGAGGCCCTTGAGCACCATGCATGGTGGATATGTGCGCTATATAAATATCCAATATTATTATTATTATTATTACGTACATATTGTTGAGCTCAACATTACATTGCTCTGGTTTCAAATATACTGGAAGCTATGTGTTCCGCAACGTGTTAACAAAATAGTACAAAAATTCATGATTATTCACTATTAATAGTTAGGTTCTTGGATAGCACGGACAGAATTACAAAATCGAAGTACTGACAATTTGTTTCGAGTAGTACTAAGTAGTGATACATGCAAATCTTTCTGGTGGAATGTTGAGTGTTTGTACACTGTTATATATAAGCACATTTTGAATAAGAAAAGGTAATTCTTGCATTTTAAGCTTGCTAATTTCAGTACATTTTCAGTAATTCGTGAGGTAAAGTAAAGATTCCTGCCCAATTTCCTTTCACAGGTTTCACATAGCATTAACAGAATTCTTGAATGTTAAACCTGCTGGTTACATGAATACTACATGTACTATCAACTTTTTCTTCTGTACTAACTTTGTTACTGCAGGGACCCATTTCATAAAACTTGTTATCAATAATAAGATTCAGTGATTGTTATAAGCTAATGAAATCCCTAAATTTGTCATATATCTGTGGCATTTGTTATTGATGACAGGTTTTATGAAACAGGACCCTAATCAAACGATTACACATAAAAAGAAGCTATTTAGCATTATTAGTACTTTTGGATATGGGAGTAACCTTCACACTTTCATCTTTCCCACTCTCTCCTTCACATAGAAACCATATGCACCTCTTTACACCAGAGCCCCATTTCACAAAACTTGTCATCAGTTACAAATGACAGTTTTTGTTATAAGCTAGTGAAATCCTTGCTTCTGATTGGTTATTAGCAGATTTGTCACTGCTTTTTGTCATTTGTCATTGAAAAAAGGCTTTGTGAAACAGGTCCCAAAAGAGGCCACACTGATCATCTTCCAATCAGGTTACAAAGTGATTGACATATTTCTTGTTGATTACAGAAAATGCCTTGAAACAGCTGGAGTTCCGAGAGTGCATAGAGAGGATAGGATCTTTGGAGAGCTGACAGTGAGAGTTGGTGGAGAGAAGATCAGGACTGGGGAGTGGTAGAGGGTTGTCTAGAAAGCAAGCTCATCTTGTCGGGGTATGTCCTCTGCTCCCTCAGCCCCCTCCCTCGGGCGACGCCCTTGGAAGTACTTGCTATCCTTGTCCAGAGCTGTAGCCTGTCACAGAAAAAAAAATAGAAATTAAAAAAGTAACGGTACAAGTTTTAAAGAGATAAAACAGTTATATCAACAAAATACATGAAGAAAATTAAGATAACATGATTATAAGTGAAAAAGTGAGACAAAACTTGTAATCTGTCTACAGATCATCATGATAGGCTGCATAGCCTTTTGAAGATTAACAGAAGAAGAAGAAGATGAAAAAGGGGTCAGACCTATCTCTCTTATTTGTTGATTTTTATACACATAAGTAACCTACCACTGAAATCATGACTGACTCAACCTCGTTCACAATAATTTTAATCAGCTTTAGAAACAGATATCATGGGTAAAACTTACAAATGCCAAATGTTGAAATCAATCGCCAGTTTCATGATGAATATAAGTACCAAGTATCTCCAATGGAAGGGACTGAAATGCTTGTGTGTTTCCAACCCTTATCAAATTAAATCGTATAGTGTACCTCCTGACTCATGATTTATGACAAAATATAAACAAACATGAAAAGATTATTTTTATAAACTGATTGAAAATGCACTCAAACCTGTCTCGGTGGCCATTTCTTTGAATAAAAAACCTGCTTATGGTGGTCACCTATATTGCCTCTCTTTCTAAAAAGATATATATATATATGTTGGAGAACTTTCCTAGAAATGCCACCTGTCTACCTTCTTCATTTCCCTTTGGTGACTTTAACAGACAAGTTTGACTGTATATCAGTCAGTGGAAGAATGAATGCCATGAATTAGACACAGTGATGTCACTTCATATTTAGAGATGTTACACATGATCATAACCCTTTTTATGCAAAAAAGAGGTATAAAATGAGCTCTGAATATTATGTTTTACATATATCCAAATGTTTGCGAAAATTGTGAAATTATGACCCGGCCCTTTTTCTTGGAATTTCTTGATTTTCAACAAAAAAATGCATATCTTTGTTAAAAATCACAAACATTGATTGAAATGCTTGTCAGCATCCCCCAAATAGCAAAAATTGTGAAAATATGACCCCCTTTTCTTGAATCTTTTTGATTTTCAACAAAAAAATGCATACCTTTGTTTAAAATCACAAACATTGATTGAAATGCTTGTGAACATGCCCCCAAACCACCCCTTTTCACACCAAAGTTCTAATGATCATGAGTTCACAAAGTCAATATAAAGTGATACCACATGGAAATCGATCGCAATAATTGAGACAATTAAGATGCGTACGGTGATAACAGCAATGCCAGCAGCACTGCTCGACTCTTTGCCCTTGAGTTCAAAGTTGACGCTGAGTTCATGGGAGACGTCGATGGGGACGTCGCGGTTGATGGCGTTATCATCCTGTGAGATGGAATACGGAGTAAAGAGAATGATGTGCGATGAGCATGGTGAGTGAATGGAATGGTTTATATTTATGATAGCAAGTGTTCATGATTATGACAGTTTTTTGGAATGCCTTTAACTCTTGAACTACTTTGGTTTACAAATGGAACAAACAGAGGTCTGTTAAAGTGGACTTTTGTCACAAGTACAATGCAAATGTGTAATACATTCCAAACAATGTGGTATAGTCCAGGATTGCTATCCATGGCCAACAAAAAATAAAGATAATATGCCATTTTTGTAATGTAATTGAATTGAATGCACAAATCTTTGTTAAGTGCCATGTTACAAATTATTTCATTCACTTGTCACAAATGATTGTATTTCAATAGTTATATTCTTGATAGCAAGTGTTCATGATTATGACAGCATTTTGGCAATGCCTTTATTACTCTCTACCTACTTTGGTAGAATGATGGAACAAATTCAATTAATAAGCTTTATTTGTCGCTATGTCTGGAAAGCTTTTTCGGTGAGAACGGAAGTGTTCATTTAATGCAAGTGACTAAAACTACACTACCGGTAGTTCATTTATATGCACGTACAGGCGTATTCAATCATTATGCATTATTTGTCGCTATGTCTGGTAAGCATTTTGTGTCAGCTTGCATGAAATATGAAGGTTGCTATTTGAAATGTAAAATATTTATAATGAGAAAATTCCATAAGAAGTGGTCTGATATTTCTTACATCAATCTTTAACAACAAAATCTTAATTATAAATTGTAGAAACATAGAGTACTTAATTGAGTTAACAAAAACTTTAGAAAAAGTGATTATGTTAATTGCATTGCATAATGATTTAGCATCTGATATTGCGGCATGTGACAGGCCCTAATTTTTGTGCTTCCTAGATAGAGCCATGAAGAAATAAAAATGAACAAATTGAGATATATAGATCTTTCGTGATTCAGCGATAATACTGTTCGGGTCACTTTTGTGTTCATCGCTTTTTTTTCTGTGCTTCATTCAGAGGCAAGAAGTAGAAATTGCTAGGCAGTTCCTATGTTGGGCAGACATATAAGGCTTGAAAATACAAATGTACAAATCTAATGATACTTACAGCAGTAAGCCAGTGAAGTGAAAACTGTGTTCTCATTAATCACCTATGATCAAATTTAGCCATGACAGATGTGTAAATATATTTGCAACATACATATTTAAACAGACTTGTTGTAGGGCATCCAGAAAGGAAAATCTTTACCTCAAATATTATTTGAATGTTCAGATGAAATGATATAAAACAAACTTTTCCTACTTTTTATTGTGAAAATTAGCGAAAAGACAAGATTAATACACACCTGCACCCATGGGTGATCCATGACATCAACGGCAGAGAAACGTTTCTCAACGTCGCCCTCTAGCATGCCGCTGATCAGGTCTTTGGCAGAGATGGAGATTTCGTCCCAGTACGGCGAGTCAAAGCTGAAGTCACAGGCCACAATCTTATCAAAGAGCTCCTCTTGGTTGTTGGCTTGGCTGTAAGGAAGGGAGAGGGAGGGGGGTCAAAGCAAAGGCGTAATGTTGGATAATTTATTTACCTTGATATATCAAAGTTCAGGGTTTTGTGGAGGCCTACATTTCCCCCTCAAATTGGCAATATTTTTGTGTGTATTTCCCATTCTTTTATAGTCAAAAAGTAATATACCAGTCGATGTATATTAAATGAAACGGTGTTAATGAAAATTACAGAAAAAAAACAATAACAAATTGCCAATTAGTACTAAAAAATAGCGACCATCAATTTTATTCTGCTTTGCCAAAAGAGATATTAAAGGTAAAGACCAATTATGGTCATGCGATTGCATTGTGAAAGAAACGTTGTGGAATCGATCAGAAAAGGTTGATCATCTAGCATATAAGTATTGGTGTGTACTGCAAGGTTCTGGAATCATCAAAATGATAAGAAATTTGGCGCAGTCTTGGTATTTACAAGCACTGTACACAGAAAGATGTATAAGGGACTATACGCACACGTGCGCGACACGTGCGTCCATCTCTCACAGACCATGTAGATAAACTAATTTACCTAATATATCAATTAGTAGGCGGTTTCCCGGCAAAAATTTTATCATCATGTATTAGTCAAAACATATTCTTTTACATGATTGGTAATAAGAGCTTCCATTTCATTTTTTGAAATTGGGGCGTTTCCAATACTGGTCTTTACCTTTAACAATTATTTTATATTAAAATTGCTCTTATTCATAAACGGCACAATGAACGGCCTATGATCATGTACAATTCGTCGTTCAGGGCATTCTTGATCAAAAGATAATAACGTATACAAATCTGCATCTCTTTTTTCAGAGATATCTCTCACAAACTTCATAAATATGACTACTGAGTCATGCTATTAATCTCACCTTCTGAATGGAGGGAAGCCACAGAGAAGGATGTATGTGATCACACCAGCAGCCCAGATATCCACCTTCAACATGTACCTACAAGATACAAGAGTGATACAGAACATTAATAACCAGTAACCAGTAACCAATAGGGTGGATTCACAATCAACAGCCCCCCAACATTATTAATATCATCATTATCATTATCATCGTTAATACTATTACTGCTGTTGAAAACTTGTCTTATCAAATTCATTATTATTAATATCATCATTATCATCGTTCATAATTTTACATAATTTTACTGCTGTTGAAAACTTGTGTTATCAAATTTCATCTGGGACACCTGCTCGGTGGCAACATAAGGGTTAAAGTCAGCCTGCACTAGTATGGCCAGGGGGATAATACCTCCCTGCAAGGTCACTGACAGGTGGTTATCTCATCAAATCAGCTCTCAATTAACATAAGAGAAAGGGGATCATGGGGGACCAACAGGCACCGAGGGCTCAAGTAGCTATAAGAAGTGCAGTGGGGCTTTAAAGGTTTACACTCACCCTGTTTCCATAATGATCTCGGGGGCCACGTATGTGGGGGTTCCGCAGACGGTGAAAAGCGGCTCGGTGACCACGGTAGCCAGACCAAAGTCACCCAGCTTGAGGGACTTGGTCCCGTCTTCGTGCTCGCAGACCAGGAGGTTCTCCGCCTTGATGTCGCGATGGACGATGCTCATGGAGTGGAGATAGTAGAGGGCGCTAAACAGGTTGTGGACCATGCAGCTGGCATCCCGCTCAGTGTACTTGGTGGTGGTTGAAATGGCGTTGAAAAGATCTCCGCCCTGTAAAACCAAACAATGAAAGTCTCATCAATATGTAAGAATAACTCCTGAAAACAATTCTGCACAGAGCTGCCTTGTACATCATACATATCGAGGGGTCAGTGACACAAAGACGCAACTCTATTTTGGCCATTTTGAGAAAAAGTGGTTTATGTGTCACTGAGCACTTGAGCCTTAAGTCTATGTTTCACTAGCCATTGACTTCAATGGGGTGTTGGGTGGAGTTAAGTCTCTGTTTCCTGGAAAGCCCACATTTTTCTGAACATTTTGACAAAATATGGAGTTACGTCTTTGTGTCACTGAACC